TTTCATACTATTGTCATTAGTATTTGTTAGTACAAATTAGATAACAAAAATTGTATTTACTTCAACTACAGTTCACTGCAATAGAGAAATCAGAGTTACACCATTTTAAGCTTCACACATGAAGAAAGTTTTAGATGACTTCGCAAACTTCTGAAGTAGGGGTGCAACTTTCAAGAAAGATATAACCCATGAAAGGCGTGGTTACTTCAGCAGTAAATCGTTATATATATATTGTTTGGATTGTTGTTACTATTATTCTACAATCTTTTTATTTTGATTTAAATTTAAGTCGTTTTCGTATATTCATTATCATTATTTTTTGTGTCTTTCTTTAATTTCTTTTAGTTATAGCTTTAAAGATTATATGTGCATTATATATAATTATAAGAATTGATAATGAATTATCCTCTTTTGATAATTTCTCATGTTTCTCTTTCAGTTGAAAATTTCTAATAACACTCGGAAGAAACAAGGAAGTTGCCATTGAATAATTAGAGTCTAAAATTTTACAAGTTTTTTAAATATTTAGATGATAGTATAATATTCTGTATTTAAAACTAAGCAATTTATGAACAAACAATAAATCTGAATCTAACATTATTTAAAAATATATTATTTTCAAGAGCTATATTTACCCATTTTTTAATAAAATAAAAACAAAATCTAAATAGAGGCTAACATTATCCGAGAGTTACGTTCATGAACAATTGGACACAAATTATAACATATCTATAAACTATATGATGTTGATGTATATAAGTTATATTCGATTCAAATAAGTTAATCAGTAAAATAGTGAGACACGAGAGTTCAACTATTTGATTGACGTGTAAAAAAAAAATAGATATTAATGAAAAATGACAAAAACCTCTTGCATTGTTTCCTTGGCAGACTGTGCAGCATTGCTAGCTTGTTCCATTATTTGATTACTCTTTTCCTGATAAATGTATATAACATGAGTTTAGTTTTATTTATTTACTTGTAACTACACAAATAGATCAATCAAATGATAATTCAATTTAATACTAATTAACATTAAGTGGTATTTTTTCTAAAATAAATGACAAGAGCAATAATGCTGACTTGAGCTTGGCCCTTGGCCTGGCCGGCTTGGTAACTAATGTTCTGAGAATTATTCATATTTAGTTTAATTTGGTTTTGAAAATGATAGTATTTGATTTGATTTGATACGTCTTTGTTTAAGATGTTGTAATTATATATAGTAGACGGAACTCATTTAGTGCTTGACACATGTAAAGTTATAGATAGAAAATGTTTGTGTCACATTAAAGTATGATCCACCGGCCCTCAAGACTAGGAGGAAGTTGCATCTTGTTAATAATTTGTTGTGTGGCTAATTAATGTCGTATGAAAATTTTCAATACGTGACTTATAAGAAAAATGTTTTGCCGTCATAATATTGTTTGATTTGGCTTCTCATTATTTCCGTTAAGGGTATACATAATTTGGTAAAAAAATCAATTCAAATAAAAGATTGATATAAGTCAATTAAAAAAATTGATAATTGTTTGAATTTAGTTTGGCTTAGTTTGTTTTTTTTTTCAAAAGAACTACGTTGTTTGGGGTTCAAACTTATAGTATTATTTTATCGTCTATTTTAATATTCCGACTTGTTTATGTCTTTTGAATCAGAGGTGGACCCACACCTATAGTTGGGTGCATGTGCACTCGTTAACTTATTTTAATGTATATAAATTGACAAGAAAAAATATTAAGTTATGATTTTACACTACATTATTTTAATGTATATTAAATTGACAAGAAAATGGTCAATTATTCTTGATGTAACTTATATATCTACTAAGTCATGTTCTTCTCATTATTTCCTATTAATGTCCCACTAATTATTAATGGGAAAATGACTAACTACATTCTTGACATTTATCTCTGATAGAAATTCTACACCTATATAAAAAGTGTTTTCTTCCTTGTGTTGGATAGAAAGAAAAAGTGGATGTTTAGTATTATGTTTATATTTTGAGGTTAGGGTCATGAAAGAGAGTTTCCATAAAAAAAAAAATCTAGGTTTTCAATTAATTCACTATACAAAAAGAATAATTTTATATTGAAGAAAAGTATTCTTTTGGTGGAACTTTGAACTCTTCAACTAATTCGAAATTGTTTGAGTTGTACATGTTGTTGGACTGTTGTAACCTAGAAGGGACAAGTCAAGAGATGTATTTCTGAATTAGTGTAAATTATACCACCGTGGGCTTGAATTTCCTTAAGCGAAGCGATAGATATATCCACACCTCTGCTTGAATATTTTTATTTATTCATTTTATTTTCAACTATTTTTATTGTAATTATGGTATATGCACAAACATTTAGAATTTAATAGAGATCGATGTGTATCTTAGGGCATCTCCAACCCAAACACTAAATTTTACACCAAATTTGGTGTCAGCACTATTTTTGGTGTAATCAACTTCAACCCACTGCATCAAATTTTACACCAAAAAGGAATATTTTTCTCTCTCTTCATTATTATATTATTATTTCTTATTTCATTTATATTTTCTTATTTCATAAAACAAATTCTTTCTAAAACATTCACCATATATAATTCATATTATTTCCTTTTATAATCGTTTAATATAAAATTATTTTGTACCATAATTTTTTAAATAATATAAATTGCTAGCAAATATTATACATTATACATAATA